CACCTTCCCCCCCCCCCGCTCTTTCCCGCCCCCCCCTGCCACCTCATCCCCTTTTGACCCCCCCCACCCCCTCCCCCACCCCCACCCCTTCTTCACCACTCCCTCCCTCTATTTCTATATTCCCTCATCTGTGTGGTCTGTCTGCCTCCTTTTCCATGCCCCCCTCCACATCTCCACCCTACCCCTTCCAAAATCATCTTTCCCTTCCTTTCCCCTCTTTGGCTGTACACTGTCCCTAGTTCTGAACTGCCAAACTGCTTTAAGATCATTTTCAGCCCATTTCCAAGTATCTGTCTGTCAAATCGGTCCAGCGCTATTCCTCGAGAGTGTGTGCAAACCATTACTTTGCAGAGTTGAGAAATGACTAGCATGACCCAAATGAGTTTTGCACACCAGCTTTATGCAATCAGACATGAGCCTATGTCCGCTCAGGTTCAGCCAAATGGGGCTTGTCTGTTGTCACCTGCGTGGTGCTGCTGATTGAGCTTAAAACAAGAGGAAGGAATAATTATAGTTTTTTGGATAGGATTATTTGCATGGATTCTTTATGTTCACTCTTGTTGTGACCTGAATTGTTTAGACTGTATGTAACTGAATTTAGCCCTCTACTAAAGTATTTTTGGTTAATTTTCGAGTATATCCTGCAATTAATCTCTCCCTTTTTGTGCTCTTAGGACCTAGAGACCTGTCCAGTGCTCTAATTTTAAGGAACTACTACTCCTTCAGCCTTTGAATGCCAAGTGGCCTACAGCAAGTGTTCAGGATCGTGTTATGTAGAGAGCCTGGCTCTTCACTTTTTATTTTGTACAAATCGTCCAATTAACATTCAGCAGTCAATTGCATGTTTAATCCTGGGTGGTTGGATCCACAGGAGCTATGAACCAAAACCAGCTGGATCCTCAGCCCCAGGTGACCCATACCCCGAAGCCTTCTGCTGGCATTCTTGCCAGTGCTGACGAGAAAGTTCATTCCTCTGTTGCCTCTCCTGCAAGTGGTTCAGCTGCCAGCCCTTCTCCTACCACTGGTTCGGGGTTGACGCAGAGTGTGTCCAGCCCTGGCACCTACATCCAGATTCCAATCAATGCTGAGGTTCGCTGGATCTCCACGTTCTCGTTGCCTACGGCAGTTCAACACAAGATCTTTGGAGGAGCCAACAACCTGCCCAAGGGTGGGGAAGGCAGCAAACCGACCACAGCTATTTATATCTACCCAGTCAACCCAGTGAAGGTGACTGAGGCGAATCGCCTCTTGCCTTTGGTGCCCAAACCGTTACCGCTGACCCGGGGAGCTAGCGGGGGGACTGTTCCAGCTCAGGAAACATCCACTGCCTCACCGGTGGCCAAGGTGTCGAGCAAAGAACCTTCAGGAAGACACACCAAAGTGAGCAGAACAAGCAAGGCATGTGCTCCCACTCCTACGCCTGTTTCTGTAAAATTTTGTGACAATCTGGCTTCTCAGGTGCTGAAGACATTTGTGAGGCAGCAAGCAAAGGGTGCCAGCATGGATAGTTTGATGAAGGCTTACTCCAACAGCCCGCTGGAAACCAAGTTTGGGAGTTCATTCAAAGACAATGCACTGCTTCTCTTTGATGGACAGCTATATTTCCTAGCCCAAAAAGGCATTGAAATTCCCACTGGTGCTGAAAAAGGACGGCAGCCAGTAAGGAGATCATGTGACCCAAAGGTGGTCCCTGCTGAGGAAGAGAGGCTGGCACAGAGGATTGAGGGTGGTCGTTACTCGCTTAACACTTCAAACACCAGACAGGATGCTGATTCGCCTGACAAAAGCCATGAACGTGACACGAAAGGAAAAGAAAAGCGAGTAAAGAGAAACAAATGTTCAAATACAACTTGTGGGATGGATGTAGGTGGCCACGACGCAAGTGCGCATCCAGTTGAGAATGGGTCGAATCTGGGACAAGAGGTGAAAAGTTTTGAAAAGACGCGCCTGATGTTTGCACTTGTACAGATGGGTGCCATGGGACCATTCAGCCAGTGATCATAATTATGAGCTTTTTGTTACAATGCGAGCCCATTGTTGTAATGGATGGTGTGATTGCTTAACAATCCCTGTTCTTGTCAGTCAATGCAAATAGTAACCTTGGACAAACAACTATTCTTCACTATAGGATGTTGTATTCCAATCTAATTCATGTGTGGTCAGTGGGTGTTAAGGTGACTGGTAGAACAAGGATCTAAAACTGCTTTAGTGGGTGCTTTTTGAGGTGTAGTAATATTTCTGGTATCAGAAGCGTTACATGTAGCATTCTTGGGTGCTCAGCAAATTGTTGACATAAAGCCACATTTAACTACTCCTTCACTGCTATATTCTTGCATCAGCTACTGGGGAAAATTATCAAATGTGCAATATCAGTTCAAAAATAATGTTCTTTGCAAAAAGCCACTGTTAACACTAATGATCTTGGAGTGCCATCTGCTGGCAATTTCAGTCTGGACTTATAATAAACTAGAATTGAGCAGTGTGCTCAGCCTGTGCTGTAAGGATTTGGAGATTGTACTGCTGTGTTGTGATCATCAGCTGATGTTAGAGTGGACAGGCCCAGTATTTAGTGATGTGGAGGCTTTCAGTGTATTTGCACAAATTGGCTACTGACTACATCTGTGTTGGTGAAGAACCTCAAAGAAGCTTGCTTTTTATTCAGTACCAAACAGCTGTTTTCCATAGCTGCAGCAAAAATGTTTTTGAGTTATGTTCCCAATCTCTAAATGTAACAGTTCCATTAAAGCTTTTTTGATTATTTCTAAACGTAACCACCTAATTGTGGTAAACAAATTGCTGGAGAAACTCAGGTGGTAAAACAGGATCTGTGCAGAGAAAGCAGTGTTAATTCCTAGCTTTCCATGTTTTAAAAAAACTAGAATTTTTTTGTTTTCCTGTCCCAAATAGATTTTGTACTTACCTGTTTTTACGTTCATGTTCCCATTCACCTTATTGATGTCCTTTCATAATTTAGTGGTCCCACTCTCATTACTTATTATAAATGACTATTACATATATATTACATACATATTACAGGTATAGTGAAGCCAGTGGATTGTTCCTTGTGGGATGCTACTAGACAATCATTTCTGATTTGACACATCTATTTCCTGTCTGGCCCATAAATTTCCTTCAGTTTTGTGTATTGGCTAGCAATCTTGAACTTTGAATCTTACTGGAATACTTTCAGGGAGTCTGTGTAGTCACATTCATAAACACCCAGCATTTTACTTAAATGAGCATATTTGCATTTTAATTAGAGATTCCAGTATGCTTGCCATGACAAATTTATGACTAACCAGTGTAAGCATTCCCTTTCTAAATAATGGAGTCATATTCAAATTTGCAGTTGAAACAGTTAACAAATCAAGAAGACTGTAAGATTATGACATTTGCAGTTTCCCCAATTCTTTAAAACCTGGAGGTGGAAACCATTGCATCCTGGGAGTTTGCCTATCTCTAGTCATATAATTTTAGAAAGCCGTTCTTGCTACTATTTTAATGGATTTCAGTCCTTAATGGATTATTAATTTCCCTGGAATGTCCTGTTGCACGTCTATGATTAACATACATTAGCACTGTCTTGTTGAACAATTAATGTATTTTAATTTGCAGTATTAATCCCATTTGTTTTTAAATGGCTACCATTATCCTTGACTACCCTTTCCTTGTGCCCCCTCCACCCAGTATAATCAAAAAATACTTCCGTTAGCCTCCATTATTATTTTCGTCTTCCCTTGCTTCAATATTTCAAATATTTTGTGTACTTCCCAATGCTGTTTCCTTTCATCGCTTTTAGTTATGGCTTTTTTTATTTGACAAGTAAAGCTCTTGCCCTTTGGAGGTATATACTGGCTTTGTATTAAGCTGGAATTATTTTTCAGCATCTCCTGCAATTCATTTGTAGGTTTCTTCCGTAACTAGGTTTTATCAGTTTTTCTGCAAACGCCTCTGTTTCAATCTGTTGAAATGTCGATTCTTGGCATCTGAGTTGTTTTTCTTTTCAAATCAAACTCATTTTTTTAACATTATAATTGAATAGTAACTGGTTCTAAAGCAAGTCTAGCTCATTAAAGAGCGGTAGATGTTGTTTACTTGGACTTTTGTAAAGCCTTTGATAAGGTTCTGTATGGTGGACTAATTAATAAAGTTAGATCACATGGGATTCGGGGTGAGCATGCCAATTGGATATAACATTGGCTTTACAGTAAGAGACAGAAAGTGGTGGGGGGGTTATTTTTCAGAGTGGTGGCCTTTGACCAGCAGTGTTTCACAGGTATTGATACTGGGTCCAATTTTGTTTGTCATTTATATAAATGATTTGGATGAGCATATAGCAGATGTGGTTAGTAAGTTTGCAGATGGCATCAAAATTGTTGGTATTAAGGACAGTGGAGAGGCTTGTTCAAGATTAAGAAGAAATCTTGATCAATTGATTTGATTTATTGTCATCTGTATCTAAGTACAGTGAAAAGCTTTGTTTGCAAGCAATACAGGCAGATCATAGTAAGCAAGGATGTGCAGATTGTAGGCTGAAAAAATACTTGGACAGAATGAGGCATACAGATTACACTATACAGGAAGTGTGCGAAGCAAGATTGAGGACAATTTAAAGAAAAATGAAATAAGGAGGTAGAGGGATTAAGAATGAGGGTAAGCTAACCAGTAATATAAAAGGAGATTGCACGAGCTTCTTTAGATGTATAAAAGGCAAAAGTGGCCGTTGGGCCACTGGAAAATGATACTGGAGATGTAGTAATGGGAGACAAAGAAGTGGCAGAGGAACTGGGCAAGTACTTTGTCAGTTTTCACGGTGGAAGACACAAGGAACATCCCAAACATTCAAGAGAGTCGGGGGGCTGGGGGCAGGGGGCAGGGGGCAAAGGGCAGAGGTGAGTATGGTGGCCATCACCAAGGAAAAGGTGCTAGAAAGACTGAAAGACCTGAAGGTGGATAAATCACCTGGACCAGATAGACTACACGCCAGAGTTCTGAAGGAGATAGATAATGGAGGTGTTAGGATTATCTTCCAGGAAACGCTGCAGTCAGGGAGGGTTCCTGAGGACTGGAAAATCACTAATGTAACTCCCCTGTTTAAAAAGTAGTTAGGCAAGAGATGGAAAATTGAAGGCTAATTAGCCTGATCTCGTTCGTTGGTAAGACTATGGAGTCCATTGTGAAGGATGATATTTCTGAATATTTGAAAGTACATCGTAAAATAGGGCAAAGTCAGCATGGTTTCATCAAGGGGAGGTCATGCCTGACAAATCTCTTAGAATTCTTTGAGAGGGTAATGAGCAGGTTAGACAAAGGAGAGCCAATGGATGTTATCTACTTGAACTTCCAGAAGGCCTTTGACGAGGTACCGCACAGGATGCTGCTGAGTAAGCTTAGGACCCATGGTGTTAGAGGCAAGGCACTAGCATGGATAGAAGATTGACTGGCAGAAAGCAGAGAGTGGGGGCAAAAGGGTCCTTCTCAGGATGGCAGCCAGTGACTGGTGGTGTTCTGCAAGGGTCAATGTTGGGACCCCAACTTTTCATTTTATACATTAATGATCTAGATGAAGGAACTGAGGGCATTCTGGCTAAGTTTGCAGATGATACAAAGATAGGTGGAGGGATAGGCAGTATTGAAGAGGTGGGGAGGCTGCAGAAGGATTTAGATGGGTTAGGAGAGTGGGTAAAAGAAGTGGCAGATGGAATACAATATGGGAAAGTGCAATGTTATGTACTTTGGTAGGATGACTAGAGGCATAGACTGCTTTCTAAATGGGGATAAAATTCAGAAATCTGAAGTGCAAAGGGACTTGGGAGTTCCAGTCCAGGATTCTCTGAAGGTAAACTTGCACGTTGCGTCAGTAGTTAGGAAGGCAAATACAATGTTGGCATTTATTTTCAGAGGATTAGAATATAAAAGCAGGGACGTACTTCTGAGGCTTTATAAGGTTCTGGTCAGATCACCTTTAGAGTACTGTGAGCAATTATGGGCCCCATACCTCATGGAGGATGTACTGGCCCTGGAGTGGATCCAGAAGACTTTCACGAGAATGATCCCAGGAATGAAAGGCTTGACGTGAAGAATGTCTGAGGACTCTGGGTCTATACTTGATGGAATTTAGAAGGATGAGGGGGATCTAATTGAAACTTAAAGGATACTGGACAGTCTGGACAGAGTGGATGTTGGCTAGGTGAAAGACCCGAGGCCACAACTTTAAAATAAAGGGAAGATTCTTTGGAACAAAGATGAAGAGAAACCTCTTCAGCCAGAGAGTGGTGAATCTGTGGAATTCATTGCCACAGAAGGCTGTGGAAGTCAGGTCATTGAGTTTATTTAGTTGTCAAGGGGATCGAAGGTTGCGGGGACAAAGCAGGAAAATGGGTTTGAGAAACTTATCAGCCATGATTGAATGGCAGAGCAGACTTGATAGGCCGAATGGCCTAATTTCTGCTACTATGTCTTATGGTCTAAGATCAACATTATTTGAAGTTAGAGAGACCATTGGCCAGTCTGATTATGGCAGGGAAGAAGCTGTTCTTGAACCTGTTGGTGCGTGTTTTCAAGCTTTGCATCTACTGCCTGATGGAAGACGTAGTAGGAGAGCATTAGCAGGGTGGGAGGGGTCCGTGTTGTTATTTCCCTAGCCTGGTTCTCATGTACTCACTTTTGGTTCCTCTTCTCTTTTCCTTTTTGTATAGTTAAAGAAGCTATTGCTGTTTGTCTTGTCGCTGCTTGTGAGTTTAGCTTCATAGTTTATTTTCTGTGTTTGTTTTTGATCATCTTTTGTTTCTTTTTAAAACTATCCCAATCCTCTAGTATACTGTTAATCTTTACCACATTGTATGATTTTTCTTTCAATTTAATGCTATCCTCAACCTCCCTGCTTAGGTAATCCCCCTTCTAGAGTCCTCCTTCCTCACTGGGATATATCTTTGTTGTGAGCTGTGAATTCTTCTCTTAAAATTTATCCGTTGTACCTTGACTCTTTGATCTTTCTTGGTCCACTTCAACTAGTTCTGCCGTCATTCTTTTGCAATTACCCTTATTAAAGTTTGGCACAGATCTTTCCAACCTAAATTTCTCTCCTTCAAACTGAATGCTAAACTCTAGCCTGTTTATGCTCATTGTTTTCCAGGAAGTCTTTTACTCTGACATTATTTATTAAACCAACCTAAATACATTCTTGTCAGATGCAAAATAGCCTGATCCCTGGTTAGATCCACCTAGGAAACTGTAACAAGTATACTCTATGAATTCTTCCTTGAGGCTAGACCTGCCAAATCTGATCTTCCCAATCTACAGGAAGATTAAAGTCACCTGAGATTAATGTACTGCCTATTTTTTTACATGCCCTCATTATCTCCTGATTTATTTTCTGTACACTGGTATAGCTGCTGTTACTGGGTCTTTTAGACTACTCTGACAAGTGTTGTCTTCCCCTTTTTCATTTCTTGCCTCCTCCCATATGAATTCTAATCCAAATTCATTTCTTCCTTCTGTAATTATTCCATTCTGTATTTAAAAAAAGCTAACCCACTGCCCTTTCTTTCCTGCCTGCCCTTTTGGAAAATCAGATATCCCTGAATATTTAGTTCCCAGCTTTGATCTCCTTGTAACCATGTCTGTAACGGCTATAAGATCATATCCACTAACTTCTATTTGTACCATTGCTATATGCTTTGAAGTAAACAGCCATTAGTTTTGCCGCTTCGCTATTTTTGTTCTCTTTGTTCCTATTCCCTGCTGTTTATCTATGTTCAATCTGTATCTTCCTGTCTGACTCTAGGTATTAGAACATAGAACAGTACAGCACAGTATAGGCCCTTTGGCCCACGATGTTGTGCCGAACTTTTACCCTAAACCTAAGGTCTATCTAACCTCCACAGCTACCTCATACTATCATCCATATGCCTATCTAATAGCCGCTTAAATGCCCCTAATGAGGCCGACTCCACTACCCTCTCCGGCAATGCATTCCACGCCCCTACCACTCTGAGTAAAGAACCTACCTCTGACGTCTCCCTGATATCTACCTCCTTTCACTTTAAAACTATGTCCCCTCGTAAAAGCTACCTCCACCCTAGGAAAAAGTCTCTGGCTGTCTACTCTAACTATACCTCTGATCATTTTGTACACCTCTATCAAGTCACCTCTCATCCTTCGTCTTTCTAAAGAGTAAAGCCCTAGGTCTCTCAACCTTTCCTTGTAAGACCTTCCCTCCATTCCAGGCAACATCCTGGTAAATCTCCTCTGCACCTTTTCTAACGCTTCCACATCTTTCCTGTAATGAGGCGACCAGAACTGGACACACTACTCCAGATGTGGCCGAACCAGGCTTTTGTATAGCTGGAGCATAACTTCACGGCTCTTGAACTCAATCCCTCTATTAGTGAAAGCTAACACACCATACGCCTTCTTAACAACTCTATCCACCTGGGTGGTAGCTCTCAGGGTACTGTGAACATGAACCCCAAGATCCCTCTGCTCCTCCACACTGCCAAGAATCTTTCCGTTAACCCTGTATTCTGCTTTCAAGTTTGTCCTTCCAAAATGAATCACTTCACACTTTTCAGGGTTAAACTCCATCTGCCACTTCTCAGCCCAGCTCTGCATTCTATCAATGTCCCTTTGTAACCTAGAACAGCCCTCTGCACTGTCCACAATGTGACCCATCTTTGTATCGTCCGCGAACTTGCTTATCCACCCTTCCACTCCTTCATCAAATCATATACAAAAATCACAAATAGAAGAGGACCCAGAACAGATTCTTGTGGTACGCCGCTCATAACTGAGCACCATGTTGAATATTTTCCGTCCACTACCACCCTTTGTCTTCTAAGGGTCAGCCAATTCTGAATCCAATCTGCCACATTTCCCCCTATCCCATGCCTCCTTCTGCATGAGCCTACCATGGGGAACCTTATCAAGCCTTACTTAAATCCATGTATACCACATCCACTGCTCCACCTTCATCCACGTGTTTGGTCACCTCTTCAAAGAATTCAATAAGGTTTGTGAGGCATGATCTACCCCTCACAAATCCATGCTGACTATCACGAATCAAACTGTGCCTTTTCAAGTGATCATAAATCCTGTCTCTCAGAGCCCTTTCCAATAATTTGCCCGCCAGTGAAGTAAGACTAACTAGCCTGTAATTTCCAGGGTTATCCCTGTTCCCTTTTTTGAACAAGGGAATGATGTTTGACTCTTTCCAATCTTCCGGCACTATACCTGTGGACAGTGAGGACGAAAAGATCATCGCCAAAGGCCCTGTGATCTCGTCCCTCGCTTCCCATAGAATCCTTGGATAAATCCCATCAGGCCTGGGGGACTTATCTATCTTCAACTTCCTCAGAATTCCTAGCACATCTTCTTTACTAACATCAACCTCCTCTAGCCTACCTGCCTGTTTCACAACGTCCTCCTCTGCAACTAGGTCCCTCTCAGTTGTGAATACTGAAGAAAAGTATTCATTAAGGACCTCTCCTATCTCTTTAGGCTCTGTGCACAAATTCCCTTTACAATCCTTGATCGTCCCTACCCTTTCTCTGGTCATTCTCTTGTTCTGCACATACGTGTAAAAAGCCTTGGCGTTTTCCTTGATCCTATCCGCCAAGGTTTTCTCATGCCCCCTTATAGCTCTCCTAAGCCCTTTCTTCAGCTCCTTCCTGGCTAACTTGTATCCCTCTAGAGCCTTTTCTGTTCCTGTTTTCCTAAACCTTACATAAGCCTCCTTCTTCCTCTTAACCAGTCGTTCGACCTCTCTCGAGAACCATGGCTCCCTCACTCGACCGCGTCTTCTTTGCCTGCTAGGGACAAACATATCGAGCACATGCAGTATGCATTCCTTAAACAATCTCCTTATTTCTGTGGTGCTCTTCCCTGACAGCCTCTGTTCCCAATTTATGTTACCCAGTTCTTGCCTAACAGAATTGTAATTACCCTTCCCCCAATTATAAACTTTACCCTGCTGTATGTACCTATCCTTATCCATGACTATCATGAAAGAAACAGAGTTATGATCGCTACCGCCAAAATGCTCTCCTACCAACAGGTCTAGCACTTGGCCCGGTTCGTTGCCAAGCACCAAATCCAAAGTGGCCTCTCCTTGTGTTGGTCTATCTACATACTGTGTCAGGAATCCTTCCTGAATGCAGTGGACAAAATCTGTTCCATCTAAATTATTACAACTAAAATGTTTCCAATCAATATTTGGAAAGTTGAAGTCACCCATGACTACAACCCTGTGACTTCTGCACCGTTCCAGTATCTGCCTCCCAATCCGCTCCTCTATTTCTCTGCAACTACTAGGGGGTCTGTAAAAAAAAAAAAACCCCAACAAAGTGACTGCTCCTTTCTTGTTCCTGACCTCAACCTAAACTGACTCTGTAGACATATCATTCTCGAACTGCCTTTCAGTAGCTGCTATACTCACCCTGACTAGCAATGCCACTCCCCCACCTCTTTTTCCAACCTCCCTATTTCTTTTAAAGCATCTAAATCACGGAACTTCCAACAACCATTCCTCTCCCTGAGTTACCCAAGTTTCTGTAATGGCCACAAGATCGTAGTTCCTAGTGCCGACCCATGCTCTAACTTCATCGCTTTATTTCTGATACTTGTAGCATTGAAGTATACACACCTCAAACCATCTCGGTGTCTGCAATTACGCTCCATTGACCGCATTTCTTTATAAACCACCTCACTCCCTATTGTGTCTGTTGGAAGGCCGAATACGTCATCCTCTGAATTATAAATCCGGTTCCCCACCCACTGCCAAACTAGTTTAAACCATCCCGTACAGCCCTAGCAAACCTCCCTCCCAGGATATTTGTGCCGTTCCGGTTCAGGTGCAACCCGTCCTTACTGTACAGGTCCCACCTTCCCCAGAATGTGCTCCAATTATCCACATAATGGAAGCCCTCCCTCCTACACCAGCCCTGTAGCCACGTGTTTAGCTGCACTCTCTCCCTATTTCTTACCTCGTTATCGCATGGCACTGGTAGTAATCCAGAGATAACTACCCTGTTTGTCCTGGACTTCAGCTTCCAAACTAACTCCCTGTACTCGTTTTTCACATTCTGAGTCCTTTTTCTACCTATGTCATTGGTACCGACGTGTACCATGACTGCTGGTTGCTCACCCTCCCCCTTAAGGATCTTGAAGACACGAATACCTGTCCTGTAATGATGCCATATTCTTCTGCTTTGTAAGCATCCGTTGCTCCAGTCTGGACCTTCAACCCTCCTCGATTAGTTTAAGATCTCTCTACAGCCCTTGTTATTTGATTAGTCAGGACACTGATGTCCTTTCCTCATCTGACTTGCAAGTGAATGCAGGTTCACAGGCTGACTGTTAACTGCACTCTGAAAAGACCTTAGCAAGACCCTCAGTTCGAGGGGAATTAAGATGGGCAATAAATACTGGCCTTGCCAATGACACCCAAATCCCATGGAACAATAAAGGAGGATACCAGTGCTCTTGAAGCTATTTAGCAAAAATGCAGCTCGGCCACTTAACACTTCGAGTAGCTGTAAAACTGCATTGGTTAGGTTGCTTTGTGCTCCCGTTCTTTTGGACCAGTGTATGAGTAGTCAGGTTGTTGTATTGCTGAATTCATAGCCTGAAAATAGTTTTGGTTACATTTCAGAATTCCTGTCTGCCCACGAACCTTTATTGACCTGAGTGTGCAGTGATTCTTTCCCTCTCTTCCATTTATTATAACAAGAATGAATTGGCAGTTTCCCTGTATATTCTAATGCATGTCTTTGTGAATGGAGGGAAATATATCGCTTGGTTTGCTAATATGACTCAATTTTTGTTTGTTATTGGGACATTTTGGGGCAGATATATGTTTTATAATGTTTTCTGGCTCAATTCTTTGACTGAACTTCTTGCCTCTCATTTTCACAGGTTGTGAAAAAATTACCGAATACCCTTTCAGGAAAATGTGCTCACGACCCTTGGATTTCTAAGGACAGAGACTTGTTGTTAAAAGCAGGAATCCATGCTGATGTCAGAGTTTGCCTTAACCGAATATCCTCCATTGACCTTGCTAATACTTCGGGATGTCGGTTGGAAAGTCCCATGAAATATGTTACAAAATTCTCTGAGAAGCCTGATCCCATGGATTTGAAAAAATGTGCAGAACACTCATTGGTGCCTGGCCCAGCAGAATTAGAGGAATGCCCAGAGCTTATCAGGGAGCATTATCCAACAGAATTCAGAGAGTGTCCAAAGCTTTTCAAGGAGTGTGCAGTAGCAGATTTAGAAGGAGGTCTGGATGCGTTGAGGGTGCCTGACATGGTAGCATCTCAAGAATGTCCAGTACTGTCTAAAGAACTTCCATTGGAAGAATGTGCAGCCATCTCTGAAGCATTTAGCCCACCAAAACTGGAGAAAAGCCCAGCCATCTTGAAGAAGCCTGGTTCATTAACATTGGAAGAATGTCACAATTATTCCAAAACCTGTGTCACAATAGAATTAGAAGGTGTTGATGCTGACAATGTACTGAGCACGGTGGAATGTGGAGAACATTCAGACCCTGCTGTGAGTTCAAGTTCAGCAGATTTGATGGACTGTCTTTCTGAATCTGAAGAGGGAGACCATAGTAAACTCCAAAGAAAGAGGAAAGAGGTATTTAATTTTATTGAGAACATAGTGATCTGTTTAATGCTGAGTGGTGTGGGAAAGTTGAGAGAGATGAAACTGAAATTAGAGATGTGGAGGGCAAATCAAACTTCTTTTAATTGTGGAAAGATTGCAAGGATTTGGGAACTTAATGTTTATTATTAGTTGTGTAACAGTTGTGGTATCCTCTCAATGCTGATGAATGGGTAAATCAATCAGAATGGAAAGGAAGAGAATTCATAGTATTCTAAGTGAACAGATTGGTAAGTAGTTCTGTCATCAGGATTGGAGTATTTGTTGTGACTTTGTTTGAAATCAGATGGTGCAAAGGAAAATTATATTTGGAATATCAATACATTGGCCAGGATTTTCCCTTTTTTATTTAGTGTGGTGATCCCTAGGAATGAGTGAGTGCCTCACCCATAGAGAGAGCCTGCTAAGTCAAGTGTCAGTCAGACACTTAAGTTGTCACTTGGTGGACTTCTTGGTCACTTACTTCCTGGACACTGACATCTCCCTGCCTGAAAGTTCAAGCCAATCAGATGCTGCTGTGATGGAGAAGGGCAGCGTAACTTTGAAGGTGGAGGCTGCTGGTTGCACAGCAATACTGAAGACCAGGAACCGCTGGAAGATGTGGCATTTTTTGGGAGGTGGGATCAAGGGGTTTAGAAACAAGGGTGGTGGGGTGACTTGTGGTGGCCAAGCACCTAATTGCAACCCCCCCCTTCCACACCACTGGGGCATATGGGTTCCCCCAACCTGGCAAGCAGGCTGTATCATTTTACCAGAGAGGCTGCTAATTTTCTTGTCAGCCGGGAGAAGGGTTAATTGGGCTGATAACAGAATGAGGCTCTTGAGTTATCATTAATTGATCATTTAAGGGCTTTAATTGGTGACTGTCAACAATGAGCCTTTTTTCCCAGATCATAAATCCCTAAGAAATAAATTTTAATAAATCTTGATCGTGTCAGCCTACCTGATTATTTGCCCTTCTTACCAATTTAAGGGAGGGAAACATCCCAGTCTGTAATAAGATTGTAACAGTATTCCAAGGGCACACGCTGGAAAAAGGTGCTGTGCTGCATGCTTTTACGTACGCTGACTGGTCCTAACAATTTTAACCTGAATCCTCTATGGCGAGTCAAGCATGCATTGAGTCTCCCCAGGGGTGGAAATGAAGGTAGCTACATGCCCCACTTTGGTTTCTAACAAAGTAATCATTCTTGAACCAACATTGGACAAGACTGTGGTAAAACTCTTTGCTTTTTTTCTGCACTCCTGCTTTTGTAGTGGGAAAACATTATTCAGTTAAATCCTTGTTTTGGTGCTAATTTTAGAATCTGAATAAACAAGCAGAACTTTTCCCTCTGGAATTCCCAGATGTAAATATTGGTAGTTAAGCAACTTATTCCCAAATGATGACCTGTGAAGCTGGAAAATATATTTGCGACTTAGTGTAATAGTGATATCAAAAACGTTCTAAATAGTCTGGGCTTTTATTCCCCTCTGTAATTCAGAGAGAGGGTCACTAATGCTGGTCAATGTAAGGCGTCCATTATGAAAATTGTATCAGGAACATTCCAGTAGAAGGTAAAGATTTTCCCTGTGCCTTGAATGTTGATCTTTGCTATCTTAGTTTCATTTCTGCTGTTGCATTTTCCTCACGGTAATTACCTCAGCAAGTGTTCAGTTTTATGATTTATTGCTTTGTCAAGAGGTTGCATTTGCTGCTGCTGCATCTGTGGGGGACACCCTCCCCACCCATTCAGTCTCTGCCTGTGATGTCACTGCCAGTACTGCAATAAAGAAGAAATGCAATAAAATAGTTTTTTTTTCAGATTGCAGTTTGCTCACTTTCCTGCTCCAAAGACATTTTCCTTGCTCTCAACCCCTCGGTGCCTCCGTCGCACTCACCGTCATGCTGCTTCTCTCCTCACTGTCTCCAGGAGAGAGGCTGGGAGTGGAAAATCTAGGGAGGTAGCAAGCGGGGTGGCGAGTGGGGCGCTGAGTGGAAATTGGGAGATAGATGTCCCAAACAGATTGTGTGGAGCAAGGGTGGCAAGGGTTCTTTGGGCATCAGTAGAATGGCACTTTTATATATGGGTGGAATTGGTGTTAGTTCCGGTACATGTCGATGATGTCAATGGTGCAGATTTCTTCTGCAAGTGTGGTGGCAGAGGAGATAATGTTGCAAAATGGTAGTACTTGTTACCACTGAAGCTGTGCAGGGGTTGCCGCCTCCCCCGCAGCAGGCAGTGTACCTACAATATCATTGCTGGCACGGCAGCAGTGAGGTGTCTGCATTATACAAAATGGCCGATCTGACTATTAAATAAACAGGCTGTGGCATTTGGAGTATGGCTAATGAAGAAGGATCATGGGTTATGATAACTTTCATCAGCATTCAGTTAAATAAATGCATGTTGCAATATATTTTGGTCCATCAATAGATTCAATCTTTTACTTCCCTGTTCAGTATATGATTCTTCCTCTGTGACTAGCTTGTGTTCGTTATGAAGTTTATTTTTACTTTTGATTTTGCTCTTGTGCTTCTGGTGGGCTCTCCTGTGGTCAGATAGTTACATGATGGAGAGGAGCACAAGTTAGAATTTTCAATGTCCTTTCATGCCTGGTTTCGCCACTTTGTGTGAAGTAGGTATCAACGCCGAAGATGAGTCAAATACCTATGCTGGTTTATTTACTTTCTAATATGTCTGTTTTGCCCTTCTGCTTGGAATAAATGATCAAATATGTTTTTGAGTGTATAATATTTTCTTGAGCTTCTTGCCTTTTGTGCAAAAAAGGAGCTAATGTAGGATCAATTGAAAGCCTAAGTATGAAGCCAAGTCTTTGGCATTGAAAATTGCCTACTCTGAAATTTTGACATTTTTTTTGCTGAGTTGTTTAGTAAGTTACTTCATGAATTGGGGCATTTACTAAAGTTCGAGAGATGATTGAAAATTGGTTTCACTTAAAGTCCCTTCTGTACACTTCCCTATGATTCATTTGAGGACTGGTTGGTCAACAGGGTGAAAATAAGGGAAAACTGAAGACAGTTGTTTTTCTTTCTACAAACTGTAGATGTTGACTTGGAGCTTACCTGGAGCAAACTGTGCTGATGCTATTTTGTCTTGTTTTCGGGGTGCTTATTATGTAACTGCTGGCAAGAGACTTGCCATAGATTCAGTTAGCAACCCCCTAGTTTACACTGCCTGCATGGAACTGTCCTATTCCTGGGGTTTGTGCAAATGTTTTCCAGGTTTGCATTTGACAGACTACACAGACTGTGTAATGAAACTGTTGAAGAACAAAAAATAGACCTTTTGACTGGTTGAGGAATATCTTAAAGGAAATTAAGGGAGATCAGTTTAGTGAGGAAATTCCAGAGATTATGATGTTGGCAGCTGAAGGCTGGGTTGTCAATGGTGGAATGATTAAAATTGGGGCTGCTTGAGGGCAGAATTGGATGGGAGCCGATACTTCAGAATGTTGAGAGCCGGAAGAGATTTCGGAAATGGGTCTCTCTCAGGTCACTCGTTGTGTACTCCTTCTCTAGAAAAGAAAAGCGCCAACCTGTTCACTCTCTTCAGTTCTGGTATCACCTTTGTAAATCTATTTTGCACCTTAATGCTTCTATACACTTGATAAAATGTAAGGTTCTGAGTGTAACCTAACTAAGGTTTAGTAATATTTTGATTTTAATTCCTTCTGAAAAATAATGAGCTCTAGCACTTTGGTTCATAGCTTAGTTGTTTGTGTCTATATGTCTCTTCCCTTTGCTCCTCTATTAACTTCACTGTAATAACATAAGAAATAGGAACAGGAGTAGGCCATTCAGCCTGTCAAGCTCTGTTTTGCGAGCCAATGAAATCATTCCTAATAACCTACTTTAACACCGTTTCTCTGCACTGACCCCCATATCACTCAATGTTTTTAACATCTAGAAACCTATCAAACTCTCTCAAGTGTGTGTGCATGACTGAGCCTCCACCTCTCTACGGGGATAGAGAATTCCAAAGATTCACCACTGAGTAAGGGAATCCCTTCTATTTCCCAAGCTGTAAATGGCCCACAAATGAGGAACAAAAATTGGTCTCTCAGCCCTTGAGCCTCCTCTGCTACTCAGTAAGATCATAGCTGATCTTAATCTTACTCCACATTGCTGCTTAATCCTGATAACCCTTCATCCTCTTTATTAAGAACATTTTTACTTACTTTCTGAATGTCCAGAGACACTATTTCCACCATCTTTTGAGGAAGAGAGTTTCAAAGACTTGCCACCCTCTTTTGAAAAGAATTTTGCCTAACTCTGTTTTAAAACAGCAAATGACTGTTATAGAACCCCCTACAAAAAGGAACACCCTTTCTACATCTACCCTGTCTAGGTCCCCTCACTTTATATTTTTCAATCAAGTCACCTCTGACCTTTTCTAAGTTCCAGTGGATGTGATATCACCAATGCTGTCTTATAACTGAAGTAGAACTTTCTTTTGTATTCAATTCATCTTGCGGTAAATGATAACATTCTGTTTGATTTCCTGGCTACTTGCTGTACCTGCATACTAACTTTTTTGTGAATCATGAACGAGGATACTCAGATTCCTCTGCATCTCTAAACTCTGCAATCTGTCCAATTAGATGATATGCTTTTTTATTCTTCGTGCTGAAGTGGACAATTTCACATTTTCCCATATACTCCCATTTGCCAGATAGGTTAAGTGATTGGACAACTATCTATAATGCTTTATAGCCTCTTTATGTCCTCTTCACAACTTTTATTCCTATCCTAGTGACATTAGCAAATTTAGCAACTATACATTGTCCTTTCACCCAAGTCATTCGTATAAGTTGTAGAAATTTGAGGTCCCATCACTGATCCCCCACCACAAAATTACCAATTTGACTACTAAAATGCACTGACACTTGTTTATATTGAAGGTAATTTGCCAATTTTATGACAATTCTGTAGGTTTAATAATGCCTTTCTGTATTTAATTGTATTCTTTCTTTGGAAGAACTAAGCATCCTAACATGGTGATGTTTGTAGTTCCAATACCCATGTCCAAAATCATTAATAGAAATTAATAATAGTGTTCCAAGCACCTATCCTTGTGCAACAGCATTTCCTTGTTTTTGCTAGTTTCAGAAATTACCCTTAATCTTTGCTCTACTTTGTTTTATACTATGTTCACTAACCATTCTACTACCTGTTCCCTGATTACACAATTGAAATTCAGCTCTGTAGCACTGTTGGTTTTTGTGCTCATTTGGGGAAAAAAGATGGCAAGGTGTCCATTCCCAACATTTTAATGTGTGCTGCACCAATCTACCCTGTTAACACCCTCACTTAAAAGTCTCAAGAATGCCTTCACTGCTACTGTGTAAAGGGATCACCATATAAGTTGCAGGTGACATGCTTTTGACTTCCTTTTGGTTTGCTGCAGAGTTAGAAGAACTGATAAGAGGCCATTCAGTCTGAAGGGAGTGTGATGCACTTTGGAGAGAGTGGGGTGCATAAGAAAGGCCTCTGAGAAAAAACTTGGCCCCCAGTCATGGGGGATAACATTACAGTTCCTCTTGGGATGTAGAAGTGGTGCAGAAGCAGCAGAAATAGGAAGCTATTTGCAGAGATGAAAGGAGAAAGTCTCCTGACAAGAAGGCCTTGTAAACCTTCAAAAAGAACACATCTGCCGCTCAGCCTGAAGCAGTGTCTGCAGCAGTTGAGTTTCAAAAAGGAAGTGGTCATAGAGTTGTGCAACCTCCTTGAACTGAAACAGCAGCCACAGAGTAGGGTCAGGACTTGCTGCTGCTAGATCCCTGAGGACCTTGATTTCTACATTAGCTGATGCTTCCAAGCAGGAAATGGAGACGTTGACCAGATTCCTCATTGTTGCAAACAAGAGGACACTGAAGCCCTGTACACAAGGTGCAGGCACTTTTGTATTTTCTACATAGGCAATGGAGGGATGTGATGGTTCCCAGTAACGAGCATCCCAATACTGAATGGAGCCTCTGACTTCACAAATATGTGCCTGTGGATGCCACATCTCAATCGAGAAATGTACTACAATCTCATGGCTGCACTCCTTGAACATGCAGTTGATCTGTAACTAAAGTCAGGCTGTCACATTGGTGAATTCCTTCTGTTTTGTCATGATGCTTTCATCCTACGCTAGTATGTCATTTCACCATATTGGAACCACCTTGTTGAACCAGTGGGTGGCTTCTTGGTATTTATGATTACTTATTCTGTGGTTTATGATTCTGCTCTGCCATCCAGCCATATGTGGACATAATTTTCACGTGGTGAAGCAGAACATTGGTGTCCTGGAATAACTAGTTTCACTGCTTGGATTGTTTGGTGATGACGGATTCCGGCAACACGTGCTGGAGTGTAATTTTGTGCTTCATAGTGTTCTGCTACATCCTGTATGACTTGAAATTCACAGACTCCTGAAGGAGGAGGAAGGGAGCGTTTATCCAGCCACCATTCCTTTGGGCAGGGCACCTGTGCTCTTCTCAACGTGCTGTAGTTACCCTAAAAAAAAAATCCTAGATGACAGTACTGCACTTTTCCAACCTATTATTGC